CTTTGCTGAAATTTCCGAACATTTGCCTTTGCATGATGTCTGAATTGCCTAAAACTGTAAATATATTTCTTACAGATTCATTACATTCAAATACTTTATAATTAGAATTCACTGAAGCACATTTTCCTTCACCCGCCATCCATGCAAAGCACACTGGGGTATGCAATTAGCAACAGAAAAATCGTCAAAATTCCCCTTTATATGTGGCTATTTACGCGATTACGTCATAATCTGATTATATCCACAGATATCTGATCCAGTTTACGCCCAGTGAAAGCTTCTTTTCTTTCTCTTCTAATGACTTTTTTCTAGAAGATTTATTTAATCTTTAAAAGCTACTGGTGACTAAATTGCTCATTGTTTTTTTATAGAGTTTCGTATAAAAGTATTCCACCCGTATGGAGAATCCACTCTTCGGGGCGGAGCAAATCCTACCCATTCCGCACGCCCACAAGACTCTGACTCACTTACACTGACAGTTCAAGATATTCGTTTGAATATATCTCGGGTTGTGCAGAGAAGTCTTCGTCAAGTCGGACTCTCTAACTCCTCTGCTTCAACTGAATCTGACCCTGGCCCTCTTGTAAATATTGATAGTGAAGGCTGTTTTGAAATGCCATCCGTCAACGATTCTGGTGCTCGGAATGAAGAAGACAGAAGCCGTGCCAATTTTCAATCTAGCCTCGCTGATAACACCGCTACCTTCTCAGTCAGGACTACAAACACTTCGAACCAGACAGCTCCTAATTTTGCCCATTTAAATGGCCTTTCGGGTTTGGACAATTTAGCTCTGCACAATGAATTTCGTTTCTCTGGTGATTGAATTTGTGTCAACATTTATCAAAAATATTTGTTAATTTTTGTGAAGTGATGCTTAAAGATTGATCTTACTTCGGCCATTTGAAGGACATAACACTCCATGCGTTATATTTTCCAGGTATTTTTGACATAGGTGCAGCGAAGTTCAAGTGTGATACCCGACGAACTCTTGAGATTCTTGACATACCTAATGCTTGGTATCGGAGAAGTTTAGCCAGGCGCCTATTTTTGGGCGAAGAATCAACTACTTCAAAAACTGGTAAGTTCTGAGGGGTCTATATAAAGCCTTATGATAGTTAGTCTTATTTGTTCAAATATGTCATAATACGATATCGAAGTATTCAGGTATCTAGACCTTTTCTTGCTGGAGGATATTGCTCAAGTTTACTAAGAGACATGCTTGCCTTCTCTATCCATGCCTACTATAGATTTTTATCAAGAAGTCATTCCATACCTTATTTTATTCCCCATTCGCTAAATCACTATCCATATAGGCGAATGGCTAAGGTCGAATATTTACTCTGAAATAATATGTGCTGGTTATTGAATTTTTATGTCTATATATTCCCAAATAATTTTCCTTGATTTCTTCTGCCTCAAACTTAGTCCAAAGATAGTCAGAATTTTGGCTGAGCATGTCAAAATGGCATAATATTACAAATCAGGATGTCAGTCAAATGCGCATCCTTGCATCATAATCTTAAAAAACTTAAATAATTTATTTGTCTCTTCAGCCATATGCCTAGTCCCTTCATCTTTGGGACCTCCAATTCAATCCTTGTCCACTTAAAAAGGAACAGTTCTTGTTCATGAGCTACTGATAATATTAGAACTTATTGCTAATGAACATACTTCCACTTAAACCCTATTTTAATATAAAAACCTTTCGACCTTAAACTACATTAGTTTTCCAGCATTCTTTGTTATTGCATTTTATCATTCGTGAGTTAAATGAAAAGTTAAAATCTCCGGAAATATCAGAGCATCTTCCACCTATCTTTCCTGACTAATCAATCTGTCATCACTTAACTTCTACCATAATATCAGAATCTTTGTTGATTTCAATCTCAAATTACTATCAGGCATAGCTACATAACTTCACTAAAGCGATAATCCATTTTTATAAGTTTGCATATTAAATTTGCCTTAGCGTTGCTCCTTCGGTATAATGACATTTTAGACTAGCTCTGGCTTTGAGTACTGTTGACTAAGTTTCCAAGATGTAATCACTCTTTGCCATCTTTAATTTCCATTACATTTAATTCGTGGTCCACGTTCGAAGTTGTCTTTATCGTAAGTTTGAGCTTACATTCTCGTTTTATTTAAAGCATCATTAATAAAAATAAGGGCATTTATTTAGGCATTATCACACACTGCCAGATTAAACAAATAGCAATGCTTTGTTATTTGATGACGAGTCTAGTTGATGATATAACCATCTAAAGTACGGAAGTAATTTGAGGGATCTGGTAATTGAAGAGAAATGTTAGGAATCCTTTTTGGCATCAGGACAAAATGTGCTCTACATTTACTTTTTGATTTGCAATTAATTTGACCTTTGGCTGCTAGAAACTTAGCCATAGCAACAATTTGCGATATTAAGCCTAACTTTCCTAACCATATATCAAATTTTTACTTACGATGCCGGCGAAACGTTTAGGAATGTACCAAGTCGATGCTCCGATACTGGAAACCACGATTGATATGGCAGAAGACAAACGACTAGGTATGTTCTACAAGCTCTCCCTGACGCTGTGGCCAAGTTGCGAAAACGAGGTTTATAAAGATTGACCTCGTTTCCAAAACTTGATCTTGTTGTCAGGGCAACTTAATCGAACGCACCCCGTCTGAAGTCCTCTGCATCAGACCGTTGATTTAGTACATTCTTTGACGATTCATCGACATCGTAATCGGCATCATCAGTGAGTCTTACTACTCTCAGGCCTAAGTTACAACTCGTCAAAGGGATAAGTGAGGTCAATCCCTCGACAAACTTTCTGCCGTAACGGTTGCACTATCATTCTTATTTCTTTCCTATCACAACTTCTGATTTGTCAACATTCCATTCGTAAAAAGGTGTGTCCTTTTTGGCAAATTAAGTGTGGCCTCATCATACCTGCTGTTCACCTTGCCCTCCACTTTTTCGATCGGCTAATCCGACTCGGGTC